GGAGGGTAACGGGTTATGGGCATTACTGGGGAGGGTAACGGGTTATGAGCATTACTGGGGAGAGTAATGGGTTATGGGGAGAGTAATGGGGAGGGTAATGGGTTATGGGGAGAGTAATGGGGAGGGTAATGGGTTGCCAATCCTTCAACCAGTTGACTCTATAGCCATTTCAGAGAGCAGTTGAGAGTGATTGTGACTAAAGCCATACACCAGGGAGAAAGGAATAACACAATATGGTGGCAGTGTTGGATGATCGTGATGAGCAGAAACACCAGCATGGAGCATGTAGGCCGAATGGCCTGTTTTGGGATGACCGGTGTGGACACAATGGGCCTGTAGCCTTGGCAGTTTTTAGGGGGAGGCTCCTAACTGGGAACAGATCCGGTAACATGGGGCCATGAGCCACTGAGCGGGACACTTGAGCTAAAATCCTCACCGGAGGCGTGGGGAATGGAAATCTACTCCGTTAAGTAAATCAGAAATGTCTGTAATAGTGACCCTCAAAACTCCCGTTATGTGAGATAGTAACGGGGATTGACAAAGTAGGTGTAGGGAAGATGTTTCCTGTTGTGGGGCAGTCTAGAACTGAGAGATAAGGGACGGCAGATTTGACACAGATGAGGAGAGATTACTTCTCCATGTGGAATTCACTACCTCAGATTGAAGTGGACGCTGGGCCTTTGAGTAAATTTAAGAAAAGAGACAGATTTTTAATGAGTAATGGTTGAAGGGTCATGGAGAGTGGAAAAGAAAGTGGAGTTGAGGCTGAGAGGAGATCAGCCATGTTTGTATTAAATGGTGGAGCAGGCTTGAGGGGGGCTGAGTGGCCTCCTGCTCCTAGCTCTTGTGGAACATTTCCCCGAAGGTCCTCCCTCTGGTGGTGAACAGAATAATGGCGGTCCCTCTGCTCAGCTTCCCAGTTGTCAACCAGTAAAATTCCATTCCAGTCACCGTCTGATGGTCTTAACCCATTTAACGACCTTGAGTCGCAGAGTAGAATTGAGCTGTGGTGCAACCTGACCTTGGTTGTGAGATGGAAACATCGCCCCTTTATTGGAAACAAGAACGGAAATTGCTGGAGAAACTCAGCAAGTCTGGCAACATCTGCAGAGCAGGAAAGCAGAGTCAATGTTTTGAGTCCAGTGACCCTCCTTCAGTTCTGAGTTTCTCCAGCAATTTCTGTTTCTGAATTCCAGCATCCACAGTTCTTTGGGGATTTTTTTTGCCCCTTAATTGGATCTAGCCGCGCTCTGTGCGAAGACTTTAAGTTGAAGAGGATGGTTATCGTTCAGCCTTTAATTCCACCTGGCTTTTGGAATGCTTTTGAAGTGTGTGGAGCCTCTGATGAGGGAGGTTTCATAGTATCCCTATGGTGTGGATGCAGGCCACTCGGCTCATCGCCGACCTTCCGAAGAGCAAATCCACCACCCCATCCCTGTAACCCTGCATTTCCCATGGCTAACCCACCTAGCCTGCGCATCCCTGGGCACAATGGTCAAGTTAGCATGGCCAATCCACCTAAACCCCACATCTTTGGAGGAAACTGGAGGAAAGCCCACGCAGACACGGGGAGAACGTGCAAGCTCCACATAGACAGTCACCCGAGGCTGGAAACGAACCCGGGTCCCTGGTGCTGTGAGGCAGCGGGGCTAACCGCTGAGCCACCGTGCTGCCTGCCTGTTTACTGAGAGTTTGGTGGGGGTGGGGCGGGGGTGGGGGCTGGTGGTTGTGGTGGTGGGGTGGGTGTAGGAGGAGATGGGAATAGATCCAAAACCTACCCGGATTGCAGTAATTTTCTTACTGAGTGCACAGGTCTCTAAGGGTTGTGTGTGATAGTGACTTCTGGGACTGGAACACAATGGCACCTTTGGGTGTACCGACACCAATCACCATGCACAGAATATCGGAGCATGCAGCCAAACAGCTTAGAGCGAGCATTGCCAGTGACCCGTGAATTGCCCTAGCTCCCCACTGGAACATTCCTCAGCACCAGTGTTTCCAGGTCTCTGCCGTCTTGTTTGGGAGGGGCAAGGGGTGGGAGGCGAGGGTAGTGCATCTTTTCTCTGTCTTGCTCCATCTCATGCTCACAATCCCTATCCCTAACTTGGCCCCACCCCAACCCTAACCATGTGCCTATCCCTAACCCCATCCCCGGCCCTACACTCCGTCCCTGGCCCTACCACCCGTTCCCCATCCCTACTGCAAGTGAACTCAGTCACACACTTTTCACAAACATGGAAACATAAGGTCCAGGGGCAGGAGCTGGCCATTTGGCCCTTCAAATCTCCCAGTACGTCATGGCTGAGCTGATTGTGGCCTTCAATCCCCTCTCCTGCCTGTTGCCTGATAACCCTTGACCCCTTTGCCAATCAAATAGCTGTCTGAGTTGGCCTTGAACCTATTCAATGACCAGGCCATGCTGCTCACTGGGAAGAGAATTCCAAAGGCCAGAGACCTTCCAGGAGAAGAGGTTTCTCCATTCCTTGATCTGAAGTGGATGATGTCTTATTTTGAAATTGTTTCCCCTAGTTACAGATTCCCACACGAGGGGTAACATCCTCTTAGTATCTGAGCTTCCTCCGCACATGCCTCTAAACTCCAGGGAATATCGGCCCAACCCGCTCAGCGTTTCCTCATAACACAAACCCTACATTCCAGGAATCAGCCCTTCCCTGAACTGCTTCCTGTGCAGGTATACTCCTCCGTAAATAAATTTACTCGGTACTCCAGGTACAGAACTGTCTCACCAACGTCCTGTACACATGTAGCCATGCTGCTGTACTTGAATAGTCCATTCCCTTTACAATAAAGACCAGTATTGCATTTGTCTACCTGACCACTTGCTGCACATTGACCTTTTATGACTCGTGTATCAGGCAGGTCAGCCAGGTCCCTCTGCACCATAGCGTTCTGCCATCCCTCTCCTTTTAAACTGTGCTCCTCCTTTCAGGTGAGGTGAATTGGCCATGGGAAATGTGGTGGCATGCTGTTTGGAGGGTCAGTACCTACCAGATGGGCTGAACGACCTCTTTCTACACTGTAGGGATTCTATGATGCTACTTTCTATGAATGGACCAGTCTGTGGGTTTATGCTGGAGGTGGGCATTGGTGAGTTACTCTAGTGTATTGTACAAGGGGCAGAGGGGGCTTTGGGTGCAGGGATTGTGAATGGCACGAACGTCAGGTGACGTGAATTGGATCCTTAAATTTCAACACGTAAGTACCCAGAGGGGTGACTGGTTCCGTTTGTAACCTGTCTGTCTCTGTGTCTCCTTGACTTGTGCAGGTCTGAAAGGCACCTACCAGGGATTAACAGCAACTATCCTGAAGCAGGGATCGAACCAAGCCATCCGGTTCTTTGTCATGACCTCGCTGAAGAACTGGTACAAAGGTATGGTGGAGCAGCGTCTATCTGAGACACGGAGTGTGACCACAGCACAGGCAGAGTCGTATTGGTAACAGCTACACTGCCGGGCAGATGGTTAGCTCAGTTGGCTGGAAGGTTAGTGGGAGGTGTAGAGCGGCACTAACGTCATGGGTTTGATTCCCATCCTGCCTGAGGTAGTCTGGGGACCTGCCCCCCGACTCACCTTGCTGCCCCCTCAAACTCAAAAAGCCTGTGTTCTAGTGACGGAGATGCCTGTGGCTCATCATGGGCTGTCGCTAGTTACTCACCCGCTGATTTAAGCCATTAAATTCTTTTTTTACCCGAGAGCCGCACAGCGAGTCTTGGAGATGAGTTAACATGAAGCTGGAGAAGCACGTGAGGGAGAGGGGATTAGGAGGTTACATCGATTGGCAGGGGGAAGGTGAAGAGGACATGGGAAGTTGTATGGTGTGATGTAGAAAGGCCAGTACAGAGCAGAGGGGCCGAACGGCCTGTTTACGTGCCGTAGGCTTTTGGCGCAGTGGCTCCTTCCTGTCGGTGCGTTCTGTCCGATAGAAGCTCAGTGACCCACACCCTGAGGACCCCACACATGGGACCTGCCTGGTAACCTGGGACTGAAACTAATGAAAAGCAACAGCAGTGACAGGTGTCTGCCATCAGGGGGAGACAGTGTTCTGATTCTGTCTCCACTCTCCCATCAGGCATTGAATTCCAGACACAACCCACTGTCTTGGAGAAAAGAAATTCCTCAAGTCCCCTCTAATCCTACAACAAGTTACTCCAAACACACGCCTCCTGGTTTTCCGGGGGGAAAGGGCAGGAAAGTGAAGTTTAGGATGATTGGATCAGCCATGATCTAATTGAATGGCAAAGCAGACCCAATGGGCTGAATGGCCAACTTCTTTTGAGTCTCATGGTCTTAATGTCTTTGGTATGAGGAACAGCTCCGTCTTATCCCAGTCTGCCATCTTCCTTCCTCCCACATTCCCAGAGTTCTGCAACGCTGACAAGCCTCATACTGATGTCTGTTCCATAGTTTTTCCTGGAACGTGACATCTTTCTGTGTCAAACATGGCTGACCAGGAGAGTCTCCCATGCTTACCGCCATCATTAGGCACCTGGAAGGATGTGCAGCTTGACCCTCTATCTATTTGACTGTGTTACAAACACACATGATATGGTCATTAAGGCCCAGAGCTCCCACTGGCACCTGTGGGAGTCATAACTGAAACTGAAAGCTCGTCTCAGTAATGGAGACCACTGTCGATAAAAAAAAAAAACCATTTGGATCGCTAATGTCCTTTAGGGAAGGAAATCTGCCATCCTTACCTGGTCTGGCCTACACATGACTCCAGACCCACAGCAATGTGGTCGACTCTGAACTGAAAATGCTGGGCAGGGCACTCCATTAGAAACAGGCAACAAATAGTGACCTTGCCAGTGATGCCCACATCCCATGAAAAGAAGAGGATGAGTCAGTTGGAGAGAGAGAGAGAGAGAGAGATAGAGAGAGTAATGGATTTAAAGTAATTGGTGAGAGGACAGGAGAGGAAATGAGGATAATGGATTTGTATGGGATGGGGAAACTGCCTATATATGGAATGTGCTGCCTGAGAGGACAGGAAAAGGAGATTGTAGAGGAACTTTCCAAAGGGAATTCGATAAGTGATTGAAAACAGAGTTAGATCTGGTTCTTAGAGAGTATGGGAGAAAGCAGGAGCAGGGTTGGACAATCATGATCTTGTTGCATGGCGGAGCGGGGCTGAATGGCCTCCTCCCGCCTCGATTGCAGGACGACGGGGCCATTTGCTCTTTCTGAGGGCTGTCGCAGTCCCAACGGGCTGAATGGCCTTCGTGCGGCAGTGCGAGATGGTGGTCGCGGTCCACTTGCTGGAGAGTTGTGACAGGTCTTTTGTCTCCTGTGCCAGGGGATAACCCAGCCAAGGAGATGAACCCAGTCGTCACTGGATTATTTGGGGCCATCGCCGGAGCTGCCAGTGTATTTGGCAACACTCCCCTGGATGTGGTGAAAACCAGAATGCAGGTACCAGGCTTCGATCCTGCCCGAGCAGAGATACTGATACCACCCACCAACCGCCAGCAACAGAGGCATCTTCATTCTCTGGTTAACTCGGTGGCGGGGGGGGACGTAACTGGGTCAGTCAGGATGGTGGGGGTAGGCGTTGGGGAGGGTGGTGACAAGTGGGAAAGATTAGACCCCCAACTGAACCACCACCACCAACCAGAAGGTTCAGTGCAGAGTGTAACCAGGATGAAGGGCAGGTTGTACAGGGGAAGGACGGGGAGATCGGAGAAGGCGAAGATTTTGATGAAGGTGCTCAAGATCACGAGGAGTTTCGATTCTGCGAATAGGGAGAAACGAGTTTCCCATTTGCCGGATCAGCTTCCCAAATCCGTTTCCCCCCCCCCAACCCCGCTCCGTCACCCCCTTCCGAGGCTCGGAAAGGGTCTTGGCGCCTGCGGGGACAGTTGGGAGCACAGCCGATACAAATTGGTCAGAGCTCCCACACGGACTTTCCACCTTCATCTCCCCACATCCTGAGACTTCCTGTCTCGGAGGTCGTGACCCCTGAATTTAAGATCACGACCACATCCCCACTTTGGAAAACTCTGGTTTTGACAGGGGGTGGAGGTGGGTGGGATTTAGAGACCAGAGTGTGACAGATGGGGTGAGATCTGGTGCAAGGACATCAGGGGTTGAGGGGGTGCGGGATGAAGAAAATTCCTTCACTTAGTGAGCCGGTGCAGTCTGGGATGCGCAGCCTGAAAGGGAAGGCAGATTTAAAAGGAGCTTCCAAACTGAAAACAGACGAGCGTTTGAAAAGGAAAAATTGACCAAGCAGTTGGACTGCCAGGATTGCCCTTTCAGAGGGTCAGCAGAGGCACAATGGGCCAAACGGCCTGCTTTCAGTGATGACCGTTCAGTTTAATTCACCGCATGTCCTCACAGTGTGAAGGCTTGCTCCTCGGTATGACCTGTCCTGCCATGGATGGGGCTCTCAGTAACTCGGGATATGGGGAGGGAAATGGCCTGGACCAGCTAACTCGCAATGGGCTCTGGGATTGATCGCCGAAGACAGTAGGTGTTGGGGGAGAGGGGAGGGAGTGTACAGGGACGAGGAGAGGCAGCTTCTGCTGTGGGGGATCTCTGCTCTAGTGCCGCATGAGTCAGATAAGCCGCTGAGAGCCAGGGGAGAGACTGCGAGAGAGGTGGAATTTAGATGGTTGACTGCTGGAATCTGGGAGGCTGGTGGAGAGCAGTACCTCTGGAATGGGACCTCTACTCGAGTAGAAACCCCCTCCTTGGCACAGAGGGAAGGGGACAAGTGGCTAGCTCTCAGTGACCGTGTGAAATGCAGTTCTGTCCCGCATTATAAAAACGTCTCTCTACTCCTTTAGGGTCTGGAAGCTCATAAATACAGGAACACCTGGGACTGTGCTTTCAAAATAATGAAGTATGAAGGTCCTTTGGCGTAAGTACAGTACCATAATTTTTTTGTTGTTGGCTTTTGTCTTTGAAAAAATGCTGGTAATTGTGGCTCAATGGGCAAGCACACCTCAACCTTTTGAATTTAAAAGGTTGAGAGTTCAAATCTCAATCCAGGTCCTGAACGTGGGAAAAAAAACGACGTTCGAGGCTGCCCCTCAGGTGCAGTACCAAGGGAGTACGTACAACATAGAACAGTAGAGGTCCTTCGGCTCATAATGTTGTGCCGACCTACTACCCTACTAAGATCAAGCTACCCTGCATATCCTACATTTTACTATCCTCCATGTGCCTATCCAAGAGTTGCTTAAAAATCTCTAAAGTATCTGAATCCACTACCACGGCTGGTAGCGCATTCTACGTACCCACCACTGCGCTGTTGGAGACCTTCCCTTTCAGATAAAGCGTTATGCCACGGCCTGTTTTTAAAAAAAGAGCCACTCCCGCAAGCCTCAAGGAGATTTCCCCCGGGGTCCATGTTCATCCCTCAGCCAATGGGTGCTGTGAGAAATTAAGTGGATCACTTGGTGTGATCTCATGGCAGTTAGTTGGATCTTCTTGTGAACGCGCTGTCTGCAGGCAACGCCAGCCCAGCTTACTGATGGCTAATGGGGACAGCCTGGGTTTCGTGGTCAGTGCTGAGGTAACTAGCCT